AAATTCTTTTTATAAGATCATTTTATTAAAAAAGTATTTGAAATACTTTAATATTTTTTTTTAAGTATTCCAAAGTGCACCTTACTTCAATATTCTGAATGTGTAACTTTATATACATGTACTATGTTAATGAACTATTTTTAACGAATATTGGTGAATACATACATATATATTTCTATTTTATACATGTTTTGTAATTAAACTATTGGCGATTGGAAAGGAATTACATTAAAATAACAATATTTCATTTTTTTACTAAATTTATTTTTTTCATTTTTTATAATTACATATCTTTATCATCCTTAATATTTTCAACTTTCGAGTGAACTTCAAATAAAAAAAGAAGGAGTCTTATAAAGTTAACAAAAATTTATCCTTATGATTCTTTTGTACATAACAAATGCGTCTTTTCAATGTTCACATTGGATGAAATATTTTTGCATAGTTCCATAAATCACTACCTCCTACATTGAGCAATTGTTAATACCAATTAAATGAAATACTTCTAAATAGATGCTCAACAACTAAAAATGTTTACAGTGTGCGTAAATCCAATATAAACATTATTTAATACACCCTATGACACACCATAAGAACTCTTATCTCAGGTAATCCTGCTCCAAGAGTAGTCTAACTTAGGAGGTAATTATGTTATAAATTATAATATGTAAGATGACAGTGATGATAAGATGTTGCCTATTTATACTAAGTACTAATTACCTTATCCTAACTGAGAATCTATGTTCAGCGACTAAATGCATTGCTGAGAATAAAGAAAATGAAGTTTTTATGTTTAATATAATGTGTGTGTATGTGTATATATGCGTGTGTATATACGTATATATCCAAGAAGTTCCAATTTGTCAAAGTGGACAAACTAATACTTTTCTTATGAAGTAGGAAGAAATCTCGAACACCAAAATCCTGGAACAAAAAAAAAAGTTTGTTTAAAAAAAAAATATTTTAAATCGTTCCTCGATCAACGCTTTCAACGAAAGAATTAGAGAAACGTAAACAAAGTGTTATCTTTCATTACGCATTTATTAGTATCGAAAAGAAACAAAAGGCAACAAGTGTTCACGTAAGAAATGAGTCACCTTTAAAATGGTTGCGCAGTAATGAAACAAAAACAAAGGAACAACGCCGCAAACGATCTGCTAGAACAAGGGTCACAACTGGCTGAACAACGCGAATAATTATATTCAAATTCGACTATTTCCAGTGCCTGAACACTAAAAACGTTTCAAATACGTGAGAAAAACATTCGACGTAAACAGACATTATATTCCGGCCAAGGTTGCGAACCCTTCCGCGGCTGCACTAGAATCGATAATGTAAATTAAGTAACATATTCGAGATGTTAGAAATTCCAGCGGGATTCGTTACGAAAAAAAATACTTACAGTTTATGCCTTCGCCTTTCCAACATTCCGTTTATTGTGTTCGGAGTTCATCAATTTCGTGACGATCTTTCTGGAATGGCCGCACGGATCAAAATGATTCGTGTGTGTCAGGACTTCGCGTTTACTCCGTTGTTTACCACTGTGACTGGTGAATATATGCTTGTCGTAATCGTAGATGAAGTGCTCGTACTCGTCAAGGAAATGGTCAGACATAGCTCTTATCTCTTTAAAAAAATATGCTCACAAAACAGCGAAAACACTGTCGAATTATCGCCTTCGGAAACACTTGTTCAATACTGTCGCGAAGCGGTTCCTCGCGGCTGCTTATATAGGCTGTTCAGAATCTAACACGCATGCGCGGTAAACGCGACCGTCTAGCATTTCGAATGTCGATGGAAATATCCTTCCGACCGTTATGTTTTCGTTTCAATTTCCTTTGCGATATAAATCGGCGCTAGGTCAATTCGCTCGAAACAATACACTCGAATTTAATACATCGCTTTTAACTAACAATAATTACAATTTACGAGAGGAAACAGGTGCTCGGAATATACTGGAACTGAAAACTAACTTGCATCATGTTACAAAGGTTAACGAAAGCATCAGCAAACTCAGCAAAATGGTTCGTAATATATTTCCATATCTATGACAAATCGAATGTCGTAAAAATTTTCACGCAATCTATACTGTTTCCTATTGCGTCTGCACGGCGTCACGCAATTCCGCATAATCAAACACATAATCCTGGTCAACCGATGCTATTTTCTGAAAGTGTACACGAGCATCGAAAACGTGACATTCGAACTTCACGGTAAACAGTACTAATAACGCAGCAGTTACGTACATGTGCATCTATTAATTCACAGCTGCGAAATGTCATAATATAAATGATTTATAAATAACCTGAAATTAAGCGAGACTCATTAACCGATTGTTTCAAAACAAAATCGAATCATTATATCGTCCAACGGAATAGTAGACTGTACGGGGTCATTGTATCAGATTTTGACGCACGTCAGGTTTGTTTGTTTAGCCGCAACCGTCTCGTCAATCACGCACGCGTAGTCGGCGTTATTTTGACTTGCTAGAAGCCACCGCACAATCTGCGAAAACCGATGAGCGGCTCGTCCTAATCGTTCTCGTCAAGGCGCGTGGATAAGCGTGGCAAAAATATCCGCGCGGGGCGTGGTAGGCAAGAAAGCGATAACGGACAAGTTCTCTGTACTGCGTCGTAAATACGGACACGATGGAGCAGGGGTGACGAGGACGCGGTCAGGCTGACGAAATTTCAGGTTAACTGGAATCGTACAATCCCGAGCCCCCGGTATCGACATGCTCCAATTACCGGAGACGTTTCGCGGCTGCTGGATGTTAATCGAGCCTCCTACGTGGCGATTTATGCACGCGTGTCACATCTCGTGCACATTTCGCGCCAAGTCACAGGAGTGTTTATTTACGGTCCGTACCATACGTGCAACGGAACACGTTCTAGCCGGCACAAGTGTGTTTACAATGAGCCACGAAAATACTCTACTTCGACCTTAATCGTTCGATTGTTCAATAGTCACGTAACGACGCTAATATATTTTCGCGATCTTCGCAGTTAGAGGAGGAAGCGCATACAAATTAATATTGATGGGCTCGGAATTGACAACGGCCTCTAAATTTACGTTTTCGCTTATCGAAGGTTACCGTGACTCAACCGGCCACGTTAAAAGATATTACTGGTGCGAAACGCACAGTACGCTCTCAAGGTTGTCAATAAAAAGGTTAATCGCGATGACTGCAGTGCACAGTTCGATCGGGCAGGCCATCCGGCTTTCGTTTTCTGGGTTTCGTTTTACGCCTCGGTCGTACGAAATGTGATACGATTCATTGCTTCCGACAATTGTGTATACATT